ATAGAGATAATCACAGATATACAATGAACAGGGACAATAAGCACAGTTAAGAGGAAACATGTATCAATGATTATGGATCTTAAAGGTTATAAGATGGGGCAGCAGTAGCTCAGTCCATAGAGATTTGGCTTGGGAACCAGAGGGTGGCCAGTTCAAGTCCAGCATGGACTAAAAAGTATGGAAGGTGGACTGGTAGCTGGAGAGGRYCCAGTTCACCWCCTGGGCACTGCTGAGGTGCCCTTGAGCAAGTCACCAAACCCCCATGGGGCTGCCCATCACTCTACCATCTCTCTCCATATTTGCATGTCTATGAGCCCTTTGTGTGATTGTGGGTTAAAAACTGCATGTATAAATAAAAAATGAGTGTAAAAAGAATTTCCCCCTTGGGGGATCAATAAAGTATGTCTTCTTCTTCAAGATCCACTCACATTTAATACTACTAATACTAATGCTTCCAATGAGGCTCTGTATTTATTTACCTTTAAACCCAAACTAATAGRGTAAACATATATTTGTAATCTCAGAAACTCCAATACAAATAATAMTACTGATTGTATTRGCACAGCACACATCAATCACACACTGTCAACACAGCCGTCAGAGATAACTTGGTWTCTTGCCCAAGGACACGGGGGTCGAACCACTGACCTTCCAGACCCCCGCATCCCCCTATCTATCTATATAGATATAGCTATAGATATAGATAGATAGATATATACATATARAAATATCTTTTTATGTAAATACCAGTTCTCATTTTCTAAACTCACTTTGTTTCAGTCATTACAGACGAATCTTCCTCTATTACCCGATGATTCTAACTTGACACGTTCTGAAAACCACCTCTGTGTTTATTCATCTGACACATCAGTAAACAYCTTCTATCAGCTGATGCAGTGAATCTCTCTGTTCTGCTTCTCCTGGATATTAGAACAGAARTGGACACACAGCCGAACCGACCCGAGCACAGACTGTCAGCCACTGAAACACATTTCTGCTGATTAAAGTTCCACCTCTGGCAGGATTTCAACTGCAGACCAGTCGCTCCAGCMCGTCTGTGTCYGAGCGTCTCTGCTGGATCTCACAGGGATTTGAGCTCAGTCTTTTTCACATCTTACATCTTAACATGAAATCTGAGATTTGTTGGTCTGTTTGCTGTTTTCCAGCTGACACAGTGAAGGAGAGAACAGGGGGAGAGAGAGAGAAAAGAGGAATGATGCAGATTCAAACCAGGGAGCTGCAGCTCAAAGCACATGTGCCTAACGTCAGGTTCTGTGATATACTGTAGTATTGACTTTTATATATGTTATGGAACACAAGAAAAAAAGGTTTATGAAAGYTTTGTCTGCCTCACAGACATGATGATGTGCATCGAATCATCCTGCAGCTAAAAAAAGACAGTCGGCTAAATGATCCCAGAGACAGACTTTGTTCCARGACGACGATGGACAGCTTTACTGTCATCTTACAAATCCTGAAGTTCACATACACAGACTCTGCACTTCTTGAAGATGCCTCACAATAAAATTCACCTTAAAAGAAAAGTCATGATGTCCTTGAWCGGCAGCAGAGGTTTAATATGAAGTTGTGTTTCAGCAGAGATGCAGTGAAGTGCTGCAGAGCAGAGAAACACACACAGAAATAAAAGCTCTCGWTACTTTTTRARCTTTATGAGGAATCAAAAATCATCAAGAGGCCGAACATTTGATCAGAAATTATCTCTCTTCTTTAATCATTTATTTAAAAAATACAAATGTGCAAATCTTTTTCTTTGTCTAACATGTTGCATGAAAAATTAAAAAATACTCTGATATATAAATATACAGAAGTCTGAGGATAACAATAATAAACTTTATTTCTAGGCACATTTCAAAAGTCACAAGCTGCTTCACAAAATCAACTATAAGAGCAAAGTTAAGAAAAGAAAAGCCAGATCATACTCAGCAATGCAATAAAACAACACCGATGAAAGAACTAGAATGAAACAATAAAGAACAACATTAAAACAACTAAATAAATACAAATATATACAGTTGACTGTTTGAAGAATAAACTTGCAGTTATCACACAGTACATAAGTATAAATAAATGCAGTTAGCAGAGAACTTCTTTCTTTTAATTAGCTTTTATATTTCTCCCTGGTTCTTTCAAAACATTTTCCTTGATTTGAAGATGAAATGTATTACATGTGACTATTTTCAAATTCTTCTGGATTCAKTTAATATCAAGACATTTGTGGGARTCTAAGATATTTATTTATTCACCTATTGGTGTTACTGTAATAGACATAATGTCCTGAACAGAACAGCAATTGTTATTTTAAATCACTTTCTTAATATTCTGATCTTTAATAATTTTCTCACAGATTCTTTGATTTCTTGCGTCTGCAGAACATAAATAATCGGGTTCAACGTGGGAGGAAGGACAGAGCTCAGAGACAAGTTTATGATCCTGGCGTTGGGATGAATATTCCTCCCWAARATAAATGTYAWTAARATCGGAAAGAAATAGACGGCCACTAATGACAGATGAGCTGTGCAGGTTTTTAAGGCCTTCACTCGCTCCTGAACCGTGGCCACTTTGGTCAAAGCATAGCCGATGTAGAGGTACGTGCACAAGATGAATATCAGAGGGAACCAGAGGATAACAACTGGTAACAGCTRAGKKARGACAAGTGTGGGTGTGACGTCGTTGCAGGCCAGACGAAACAACTGACCATGGTCACAGAAATGGCTTTTGATCACTACGGACTGACAGAAGGAGAGTCTGGTGAGAAGGCCGACTACGATCAGTAGCGCAGTGACGACAAAGAGCCAAAAAGAGGCGATAACAGAAAGCATGAACCTGTGGGTGACTTTCACTTGGTAGTGCAGCGGGAAACTGATCGCTATGAGTCTGTCGTAGGAGAGAGCCACCAGGTTGAGAGCCTGCATGGAGAGGCAGGCGTAGCAGAAGAACAGAAAGGTCAGGCAGTCGTTGTACGGGATGTGGGGATGGTTGAACAGGAAGACGTCCAGGACCTTCGGCACCAGAGCAGAGTTACCAAACAGGTCCACGAAGGCCAGGTTAAAAACTATGATATACTTTGGCGTTCTCAGATTGTGGGCCAAACATATCACGGCCATGACTGCAGTGTTTGCCAGCACAGACACGATATACAGAAAACACAGAAAGACAAAATAATATTTAACATTAGGAATTCCGATAAATCCMCTTATTATGAAATAAGCAGGACGCACAAAGGTGATGTTCTTCCCYAGAGCTGAGTTGAAAAGTTCCATCGTGAAAGATGGACTGACGTGAAGAAGAGCGCAGCAGGTTGTGTGGATGATGGAGGTGAGCTCGTCTCTGTCTGTTCTGATGAGGCTRGGACAAGCTCTGTTAACTGATCCTCTGTTTATTTCATTCAGCGTCTGATCCCTGGAGTCTATTCTGTGCAAGCAGGAAAAAACTTCTCAATACATTTGTTACATTACATTTAATATATTATATTATTTATGTATTTTATATTATATTGCATTATTGCAATCAAGCATTTATTTTCATGTATTTTCAGTGTATTTGAGTTTGTGACAGTTTGGTTAGTTTGCTGTTTTCGATTCATTTGTTTTCTATAGAGATAATCACAGATATACAATGAACAGGGACAATAAGCACAGTTAAGAGGAAACATGTATCAATGATTATGGATCTTAAAGGTTATAAGATCCACTCACATTTAATACTACTAATACTAAGGCTACTAATGAGGCTCTGTATTTATTTACCTTGAAACCCAAACTAATAGTGTAAACATATATTTGTAATCTCAGAAACTTCAATATAAATAATAGTACTGATTGTATTTGCACAGCACACATCAATCACACACTGTCAACACAGCCGTCAGAGATAACTTGGTATCTTGCCCAATGACACGGGGGTCGAACCACTGACCTTCCAGACCCCCGCATCCCTCAAAGCACAAATATTATAGATGATGGATGGACAGGTGGACAGGTGGATGGATAGATGGATGGGATGTACAGATGGATGGACGGATGGACAGGTGGATGCATGGACATATGGACATATGGCTGGATGGATGGAAGGGATGGATGGATGGATGGACAGATGGACGGATGGATGGAAAGACAGATAGATGGATGGATAGATGGATGGAGGGACAGACAGATGGAGGAGAGACAGACAGACAGATAAATAGATGGATAGATGGATGGACAGACGATTGGATGGATGGATGGATGGATAGATAGATGGATGGACAAACAGATGGACGAATGGATGGATAGATAGAAGGATGGACAGAAGATTGGACGGATGGATGGATGGACAAACAAACGTACGAATGGAGTCCTGGTTTAAAAGTTTAAAAGTAATAAAAGTATAATGAATGTCAGTAGTGAGATTAACTCAGAGTCTTCTTCTTCTCCCTGATTGTTTGTGTTTTGTCGTCGTAATGAGTCAAAAGTTCACTTGACTTTATTCCCTGGTTGGAAGCTGGAGCGCCTCGGCCTAATGAGGCTGTTAATGACTTGTTTGTCGACTGTGCTGTTGCAGGATGATGACACATCAGAGCAGTGAGGTAAACACTTTGTCCTAAACAGCAGGAGACAGGCAGGAGAGAGCTGAGGGGATTAGGTCAGGTACTTTAGAAAGATGCAAGAATTACACACTGAAGTGAGAAACTTTCCTGGACCTGACATCTGGATTTCTGCCACAGGAATAAATATAAAGTGTTGTTTCTAAAACTAATCTGAATCGTAACGATGACTCTGCAGCAAATGTATTAGTAAAAGAAATTCTAGTCTCACACCGCAACTGAAGTCTGCGCATGAAGGAGGAGGACACATACTGTATGTGGCAAAGGAGAGAATCATACTATATTTTAAAAACTTATTTTCTATAATTCACAACTCACAAATACAGAAAGAATCACTTTCTGTAACTGGACTGATTCTCAGAGAACGGATTCCTCCACCAAGGCCCGACAGTCGTCTCATGGAACCACATTGAAATTCACCAGATCCAGATTTTACTGGGCTCTGCATCACACACTCATGAACATCAGTCCCCCAAACACATAAGTGATTCTTTTCATCACCGAGGCCCAACACTCCCCTTCAATTCAACCGAGCTGCACCAAATTTTAAACACTTGTAGATATTAGATTCTATTTTTTTCATCAAGGTCCATGACCTATTCTCTGAGGACTCTGGATCTGGATCTCAATGAAAATTCAATAGGTTCTTTTCTGACCCGTAACTCATCCTTCCAACAAGTTTCATAATAAACCGTCCTTTCATTCTTTGTGTAATGCTGCTGACTAACAAACAAACAGACAAATGAAAACACAACCTCTGTAGCAGATGATATAATGTGAGATAAACTCTCTCCACACTAACTCCTGTGTTGGAGAATGTGTTCACTAAATTCCTGAGATTCTTATTAATTTCATTTTCTGCCACTAAACCAACATGAGAAGCTTCTCCAGAGACTAGTGAAGCCTAATACCTGGAGTATTATCTATTAAGGCTTTGTGGCCAAATGAATGAAATTAGCTCCCTGGGTGTATTACAGGTGTTTGAGATTCTCCCACAGAGACACGTTGAAATAACAAAGAGGACAGAAAGGACAGGATGCATCGTCTGCCTCAGGCCTGCGGGACAGTTAATTACACGACAAATTAGCCTCATGAGGAATCAACCACCTGCTGGTTTGACAACATTATAATGTTTCACACAAAATTCAAGAGACCTGGAAAAAAACGCTGTTTCTAACCTGAGCTGCAGAATTATTTAAATTTGAACACCAGGAGGTAAAGAGTGTTTTCACTCGTCTGTTGCTTTGTTGGTTTGTTGGTTTGTTTGTTTGTTTGTCAGCACAGTTACACAAAAACGATACTGAATGGATTTCCATGACGCATTCAATCAATCAACTGATTGTCTTTTCCGAGATGTGAGAAAAGGGAGGATGAATTTCATAATTAGAGCAGTAAAAGGAAAGTTGAAAACCCACACTCCTATAAGAATTTGGTTAAATTTATGAATCAGTTATTACCTCTGCTGAGGCCATTTTGTTTCCGTCCGCACTTGTTTCTCCGTTTGTCTGATAGTTAGCAGCGTAACGCAAGAGCTACTGAACACATTACCTCAAAACCTGGTGAAAGGATGTCGGAATGGCTCGGAGAAGAATCCAGTAAACTTTGGTTTGGATCCAGATCAGGGCACAAATACTGGGTTTATTCATTTTCTTTAACTTTGAAAAATCGGATCAATATTTTCCTTGATTTCTCACAGAATGATTCATGGATCTTGATTTATTTAAATAACTGATGTTTATGAGTGTGAGCAATATGATGCAGACTCTGGAGGTGATTTGCTCATTTCTGGACTAAATTAAAATATACAATAAAATATACATAAAATATACAGTGTCTTTGAGTTCCTTGAAAAACAAATAAATCTATTTATCTTATTATTAGTGATGTATCTATTGCTGTAGTTGCAATTGCGGTAATACTAGTAATACTATTCAAATACTAGTAGTGGAAGTGGTATGCACAGTATCAGTTGTCTATGTCAGTGATAGTTGTATAGTTCTAGGTGTGACAGTAGCAGTAGTAATGGCATTAGATGTTGTTGCCACATTATATTTTCTTATGTGGGATTTCAGAGTCGACACTTTCCTCCATCACAAACAGGTCCGCCAGCCCTCCTGGAGGTCTAGAGTCCCTGCATGTCTCAGCTGTCCCTCAACACCGGAGACCTCTGGAGAGATGGAGAGAGCGAGAGATGTTTGTCTCCTCCGTACAGGCTGTTTCCCACAAGACCACAGTCGGACTCAAACCACACTAATCGGTCCTGAGAGCTTTTCCCCTTCAACCCCGAACACACAAATATTTATCACATCGATGTTGCAACTTGTCGTTGTTTAGGCACTTTAGTTGATGTGAGTCTGATAGAGCGGTTTCCTCCACAGGGAGTTTTCTTACACTTGTAATGTTTGATTAAGCCGCGTGTTGTTACCATAAGAACGTGATGTTAGTGGAGAAATGGGGCCTTAGAAGAAATTTGGGTGCAGATGAAGATTAAACAGGCAAATCCAGAATTATTATTATTTTTACCAAAAGGTACAGTGTGTAGAATTTATGATATCGAGCGTTGAAATTGCATGTTGCAGCTGAACACCCCTCACCTCACCCTCTCCTTCCAAACGTGAAAAAGAACCTGTGGTAGCTTCAGTTGTCATAAAAACTCAAAAGGTGTTTAGTTTGTCCGGACTAATGTAAAAAACATGGCAGCCTCCATAGAGAGGACCCCCCTAGATGTAAATATTTAAGTATTTAAAAATTAAAGGGCCTTTTCTGYGGTAAAGAAAACTACAATTCATACAATTTAGATGAAACGAACTAGTGAAAACATCATGAGGATTATTCTTCATTATATTTCTGCCAATAGTTCCCTTTTAACTAAATGTTTTATGACAAACTAATATTTTAGGTTTATATCAGGCAACTTCCTTTATTCTTTATCCTTTATCTTTTATTTCACTCATGTGCAGGATTGTTCGGTCATGTTCTAGATCTTTATCATGATTCAGTCTGTTCAGTCGTTATCAAATATACTTTTGATTAGCCGTGATATGACATATTTTATCAGATGGTAAAAGAACCAGGTCTTTATCTTCTTCATTGTGCTGGTCTGACTCACATGAGACCTGATACATTTATTATGAAGCATGAAAGTCATCTCTTCACTGAGGATACAATACATGTTTACTCTAACTCCACACATTCTCAATGAAAAGTCAAATCGCTCTGAATGCAGCACTAATCTCTTACCACTGCAAGGTGCTATTTCTCTGGTGTCAGCTGCAGTAAAATCTATGGAGGACTAAAATGACTGAAGTATAAAGAAATAAGTGTATAAAGACATTTCCACATTTATTTACTTATTTATTTTCTTATTTCTGTATTCCTGTGTCCATATGTAAATGAGGTTGGAGGTCCTAACCTCAGTCTCGAGCAGGATTGGTCAACTGAGCGATACGACTCTTTGCTGTAGTGTAGTTATCAAACTGAGTGAACGTCACTCACGATCACGTTCATTTTTTTAATGTGTGTGTGTGTTTGTGTGTGTGTGTGAGCAACAGAGCGACACAGTGAGATCAGAGCAGAGTAAGTGACTTAGTTGAAGAACAGTGGAAACAGCGAACACAGAGTTTCTCTGGTCGCAGCTGCTCAGTGATCAGCTGCTTCAGGATCAGAGCTGAAGCTGCAGTTGGTTTGTATCAAGCTGGAGTTTCTGTTTCTGTTTCCTCCTCCACTCTGAGCTGCTCTCACTATAACTAATAAACTCTCATCACTAGTTATCAGGACCTGATCAGTGCATGAAGTTACTCAGTGTTTGTTTGATTCCAGAGTTTATGAGACTCATTTAAACATCATGAGAATTGACTCGTCAACATGTTGTGCTCAGTACAACATGAGAGGAGACGCTCACAGTCAGGACTCAGTGATAAAATGAGCGGAGAAGATGATCAGACCCCATCGATTAATAACTCAACACATGATCTTACGTCACCTTAATCATTCCAATAAAAAATGAACTATGAACTTCAAATACTTCATTTTCATCTGCATGAACTGAACTTTGAACTAGTTATATTAAGTGTGAACTGACACAACACAGCAAACAGCAACTAACAGTCAGCATTGACAGGCAGAAGTAGTAGAACTGGATCATCACACTCCTGTGACCAATCCTGCTCAAGACTGAGGTTAGGACCGCCTCTACTCATTAGCATACAGACACGGAAATACAGAAATAAATAAATGTGGA